TTGGAAAATATTTGTCAAACCTCGAGATCCATAAAGAACATGATTTATTTGTATTTTTCAAGAGTGATAAAACACGTGCTATGTTCTTTCTATTTATTATAATATCCATTCCCATTTTCTTATTTGTAACATTTTACGTAATTCAGTATGTTTTAAAATTTCTGATGTGTCATTATGGTCCAACGATTTGAAACTTTAATAAATACATAGATTCAGATGTTGCGACTCGATCAATCCACGAACCAGATCCGCCACTAATGATATGTTTTACCGGTGCCAGGATTATCTGAGTAGAGTTTTGTTATTTCATCTGGACAAATTTTAAGTAACAAAACACAAAACCGCATACATGTACATAAAGCACATAGAGTATATATATTTTCCCTTTATCTGGTCCTTTTTATTAAAAGTGAAAACAATTATCAAGTAATCGCCATTACGAATGAGGGTAACGCTTACCCTTAGGAATGTCTTGTTTTTTATTGAGTAGTTTATGACTGAAAATATGCGATATCATTTAAGGAATTCATAACAGTGTAGGCTAAGATATCCAACCAAAATTGATATCCTCATATTTTATAAGTAAAGATACATGTATAATTAGAAATAAAATATATTTTTATGCTTGACTTTAAAAACATAACTGTGTATATCTAAGGTCAGGTAATCCCCACTTTTTAAACTTTTTGAAAATAAAAATATATCCAGCCAACTGAATAATTTCCTAAATGAAAAAAAATTGCCCAAATGAATTCATAATTAGTATAAAATGAGAAGTACCAAAATAAATTATACAATTTAATGATTATAATCAGCAATAATTCTGCCATAATTTTCATGAAGAATCCACTTTATTAATCTTTTTATTACGCATGTGTTAATTTTATTTTATACAAGTACTTTCCGTTAAAGTTGTATGTATAAGTTAGAGAATATTAAAAGGCCATAGAGCGTATTACTTTTAGTTCGGAGTCGAGTGCATCATATGGAATGGTACTTTTTTCCCCCGCATTATAACACAAACATGCGATTCCTTTCTTGTCACAATTTTATGTCCGGCATTATATAATACCTCCATATTTTGGCTAGGATCTCGGTCAATGTAAGAAAAATATAATATCTATATTAAATAAAATATTATATCTATAGTTGTATAATATACAACTTTTAAATTTTTTCACACAGTTCACAAGAAAACATTTCATTCGTTCGATTGGCATTAGCTAGAAATCGGATCGAGTTTTAGCAAAGAAATAAAGAAGCAAACAAACATGCATATCATCGTCAACGCCATTTTCTCTCGATTACATCCAGCATTCATGAAGAGATAAAGAGTACAGAAAACCAAGAACACAATGAATATTCTATGTGCATAATAATGATATGCGCATCTGTATGCGCAGTAAAATTGTTTGTGTAATTTTTAGTTTCCTCTGCTCGTGCAGTGTTTGATTTTACGTTTGTGCATTTTATACCCCTTAGTCGTGTAAAAAATTTCAGATTCGTCTATTTTTCGTTATGTTTGTGTCAAAATCTTCCAAACTATGTGCAATTTTTACCGATACGTGCATTTTTATTTTACTCGTGTATATTTTTCATCAAGCTCGTGTATAAAATCGTGATCGTTGTGCAGAAAATAATTTTGAAGCAATCGGCGTGCCATACCTTTACTTTAACTCGGTAATGAGTACACTCCGACAATCATTTATGATAGGCCGGTGTATAGATGATGTAATGTATCCAATACAAATAACTGTCCCACCTGCCTGCTTACGCAGAAACAAAACTTCCCTCCGTAACGAAAAAAGCACCAAGGGAAATAATCTCAAAACTTGCGTATTATATACCAGTATATACGAGTTTTATCGCTTACAATATTTCATTTTCATTCAAAGGTAGACAACACGGTTGTTCACCCTGCACGTGAGGGAGACATCACGAATTGTCTCATTGCACGTGACATGCTCTTAACCAATCAGATTGACTGTATTATTCTGAAGGATAATAACAATATTTAATCACAAAAGTAAATGGGGCTTTGCAGCAAGCATAGCCTATTTTAGAAATCTCCGTCCAGATGAAGTTAGTGTTTTATTATATTATTAAATAATTCCTACCTCTCTATGATAGGGCCTGACCGCTTCAATAGACTTTTTCTTGTCAAGTAAATCGTTTTAGACGTCTCTGGTCAAGCCTCTTTATTGCAAACCACTCATTTATTCCTCGAAAATTACTTCATTACATAATAAGACTTTAGATGGATACAATGACCTTGTCAGCAAATACAATTTATCAATGAGTCAAATGCTGACTGACGTTTTTCATACTAATTGTTAGGCTATTATTTACACACTGAATTGTCGACGGATTTTTCCGTTATTTCCCGATCATGACAAGGAGCACACAGCGGGTGTGAAAGGTGTCGCATAATATTTGGCCCGCCTCGTTTAATACGATAACATATAAGGTCTGCCTTTTATAAGAAAAGGTCTGCCTTTTATCAGAAAAGGTCCGGCCCGTATAAGAAAAGGTCCGCCGAAGTTTAAAGATCCGGGTGGTCCAAAATGTTTTTTAATCTTGACTTAAACACATAAAATTAAAGAGAGTTTGTTTACATCATATGAAGAAAAAAGGATTTAACCTCGTTGTTGTGTTTATTTTTTGTACAACATACGAGGGCTGTTCGGAAATTATTGAGACATTTTGTATATTTTTCTTTCTAATGAACGTCTTTCGGTGAAAATTTGCATATACGTTTGACAAACATTAAGAATTCATAAAAGCAAGAAATATTTTACAAATATTATATTTCTTCTCTTCAATGGAATATAAATGTGTCAATGGTAGGGGTACCCGGCGCAGTCACGAAATCAGATTCTGAAAATATGTAACATCAATGTTCAACACCCCGGTGGACCCATAATAAGAGCGAAAATAATTCAATTTATGTATATAATTTTTTAATTTTATTTTGACTTCATGTTGTGCAAGTTTGTTAGAATTCTGATCAGAAATGCGGAGATCATTAAAAAAAATTAAGCGCGGTAAAGAAATCTGATAACGACGACAAAATGGATTTTGACGTCAAGGCGGAGCAGCGAGAGACCTAAAGTTTTGTGTAGCGCTATGTAAAACTCCTTTCCAGACTGACCAACCTGCTAAAACAATAACAACGAGAAAAAACATGTCTAAGGGTTTATTACATGTATTTCATTGGTATATATTTTTTTCTAACCTATAATTCAACTACAGTAAAATCAAAAGCTCCGGACGACCATCAATTTTTACGGTAAAGGAATTAATAACGATGACCCGCGTTGCATAAATCGGCACTGCATGATGCTAAGTCATACTATATAAATGACGCTTGAAAAATTTACAATAGTGAAGCAACAGCACACATTTTTTAAGAATCGTTTAAGAAAAAAAAAACAGTTTGATTTTTGTAGGGTATATAATTATGATAACAAGGAAAGAAGAGTAAACGCTTCCCGATCGTTTCACATGCAAAATCATCTCCTGCTGACGTGACGTTAAAATGACGTAGCGATGCTTCGCCAGGTCGATAGACATATGCATGTTTATTATTTCACCGGAACTTATCTAATTATCCTTTAAATTAGAAATTTTGTATAATTGTTTTATTCGTTCTTTATAAAATGTTGACGAATTTTCCTGAAATTATCTTTGCCCTTTATGGAGTTAATGTATTTGTCTCAATAATTTTCGAACAACCCTCGTATCTCTAGGACAGGAATTGCTACTCCTTGTTTAGTGTGCTTTTAGCAATGCCGTTTAGGGCAATTAATTTAAAAAAAATGTCCTCTTTATTGGGCTTGTGTTTGTTTTCCCCCAGCATTCGCTTTGTGTAAATTAGGACGATTAAAGGTGTGAAATCTGTCGGTGTGTATAAGCAATAAAACAATGGGGGGGGGGTTGAAGTATTCGTATACCTGACAGGTACTCCACAGGTAGAACCCGCGGCAGATAGCAATGACAATGTAATGGTCAAGTGTTTGCTTTAAATCAATAGATATAAATTCTCTATTTTAATAAATTGTGCTAAAGAACAAATTATAATACTATTATGATATTCATGTAGACATCAAAATTTTGATTTAAATATGTATACACAGTCTATTTTTATTACAATATTTAAAGAAATTTCTTATTAGAGTTAATACTAAGACCGATAAAAAATAAAAGTATGTATATGCTTCCCTTTAGTTTTAACAATTAATTTGTTTTCAGTTTATAATCATATTTTGTCCCTTAATTTGTGAATAGGGTGATATATAGCCAAAAGTTGTATTCGATCTATATATACTGCAGAAACAAAATACATGTAATGTTAAAAATTAAAACAGGTAACTCAATGTTGAAAACATATACATCAGATTTAAAGTATAATCATGGTTTAGATTTAATCCTTTCTTTAAAAAAAAAAAAACAAAACAAAAAAAAAAAACTCTTCCTCGTCATAATGAACTACATATGAAATAAAGTTTGTATTTTTATTTTTATTTTTTTTTTTTTATTTTTTTTTTATTTTTTTTTTATTTTTTATTTTTTTTGCCTAAAGAAAAAAAAAAGTAAAAAGAAATTACACATTGTACCTGTGACTTTGCTTTACAAAAATTAAACACTGAAGCCAATTTGTACAAATTTACAAAGAAATACAATCCCATCTGCTCTTTCCATATGTTTCTTTCTTTTGTAAATCATCCCGGTCAACAAAGTGTGTCAGTTTAAAATGTAAGCATTACTGAGTATTTGTTGTGTGTGAGAGAGAGAGAGAGAAAGAGAGAGAGAGAATGTGTGTGTTATGGTCAAATATTAATCTGAGATGTCCGTATTTGCCCAGTTCTCAATTTCTATTGTTTTAATAGACTTTTGATCTTGATTATTGTTCATTATTTCATATGTCATTACAAAATTGCTGTGTGCTAAACTGTTTATTTTGCAGATAAAGCACAAATATTACAAACAGTATATGTATGTCACTTTTTCTTAATGCGTTTGATCTGCAAATTTTCATATTTGGTATGTTCAGCTTGAATTTTCTCATATGAATTTGATTCCCCCGCCATGTTTAACCTTTCATATCTTGCATTCACAGTATCTCCACTCTCAAGTGTGTTTGCTTGTTCAGTTCTTTTTACAATTTCATATCTTTCATTCTCAACGACACTTTTCCTTAATTCACTCGTCTCTCCTTTCAAGGCTTCATACTCTGTGTTCATCGCATTTTTTTCTCTTAATATGCGCGTTTCTTCCCTGGAAATCAAAACTTCATATCTTGTATTCTCAGTACCACTTGTTCCTGTTGTATTCGTTGCTTCTGCTACGTTCAAAACTTCATACTGTGCATGTCCAGTATTACTTTCCTTCGAATGATGGCCTCTGTAAGAAAAAAAGGTTGAAGGTAAAATATGATATGAAAAAATATGATATGCATTTTCTTTCGATCAAAACGGTATGTACACCTTTTTAAGATTTAATCTGTTCACTTAGAAATTTGCTGTAAGTCATATGATGACTGACGTTTTTCATACTTATTGTTAGGCCATTATTTACACACTGAATTGTCGACGGATTTTTCCGTTATTTCCCAATCATGACGAGGAGCACACGGCGGGTGTGACTGGTCGGCAGGGGATGCTCACTCCTCCATGGCACCTGATCCCACCTCTAATGGTTTTGGAGGTCCGTGTTTGCTATGCTCCCGATTTGTATTGTTTTAATGGACTTTGAGCTTGAATACTGTTCGTTATCTCCATATTTCATTTTAAGTAGAAAATATGGAATACCGGCACATCGTTTCGTTATGTGCATATATATGAATATGTATGTATAATTTCTGATATGGAGAATATTAGTGTAGAGAGGCGAAGTGAAAGCGGGTGTGGGCTTAATTACTAGTAAATACATGTAGTTGAACAAAATCCTTATTTTAAGTATTATAAACTACTAAATTGTTTTAAGCTACTGTCTTATGACAATGGGTATTTTTGTGTTGGCATGGTTTTTGAGTAGTTATTGAAATCAACTAGTCAAATACAAAGTAAGCAAGATTTTTGAATTTTCAACCTACCCAGATTGTAAATTCCAACTGAAGTTCATTGGATTTTGCGTTGAAACAGAGCTATTATTGGGCCTTGAACGTCTTATTGACAAAAATGTTGTTGTCAACATCAAAATTAGAGTGAAGAAAATAAAGACAGCGGCGACAAAAAACCATTGGTTTACTTTGCAGACTGCTGTACCATTTACTTTTTCGCAAATTTCCGTTATCTGACAGTAGTTATCTCCACAGATTGGTTGGGATGTTTCTACATACTCTTTTTGTTTTTCATTGACTTTAAGAGAAATACTTGATGATATCTTCAGCATTTCTCCATCTACTAAATTTGAGGCAAAGCATGAATAAATTCCACTGTCGTTGAAAACCATTTTCTTAAGAATAAGGGTTCTGTTGTCCAGAGTAAAATAGTGTCTTTCATCACTAAGAACGTTTCTGGTTTTAAATTTCCATGTAAAAATGGGAACTGGATTTCCATCAGCAACACATGTGAGATTAACATTTGCTCCAGTAAATAAATCCCGATGGGAAAACGAACTTTTAATTGTAACCTTGGAAGGGCCATCTAAAAGTAATAATTTAAATGAAATAAACATATTAAGTAAACGATTAAATACCTTATTTATGATTTACAAAATGTAGCAGTCAAATAGTTTATTTACGTATACACTGTAATATAAAAACAGCATTTAAGACTTTATAAATATTGTCACATCAGTCAAAGTTCAATACAAACTCGTAAATCAGTAGTATTTACAATCTAATACTGAAAAGATTTTAAAATATTCTGATAAAAGATAGAGAAAAAAATCGTTCATTATAACACAATTTTTCAATCATAGCACTTACATTGAACATCTATTGCTGCTGTGTCTTTATAAGGAGCAGGTTCCTGTGTTTGTCTATTTTGTGAATAACATCGGAAAATCGCACCATTGTCATCGCGGGAAACAATGTAGGTTATGTTGAGGTTTGCAACCGCCGTACAATTCTCCGTCTTTTCATTTATTTCACTTGACTTATTCAATATTATTGGTTGATTTGATGCCTTATTCAGCTTCCATATAGCAACAAATCCACCAGGGTTTCCAACATTCGCAGAACATGACAAAAATACCGCATCGTTTTCTTTCAGATTGCCATTTTGGTAGAATTCGAAACTTGTCGGCTGCTCTGCCTCAACTGAGGAAGAAAGATATTATGAGTAGATCCATTTATTTAAACATTAAAGTATTTTTAAGCATAGGGTTTCTTTTCGTCCGTCTGTCAGTTAGTCTGTCCTTCTTGGTATTCCAGACATTTTCCAACACTGCAGATATTGATCTGAACTTAAGAACGTTAGTACCTTGATAAGTTACAGATCAAGATTGCATTTCCTTCCACTTTGATGATTTTTGACAAAATTACCGCATTTAGATTTTATTATAAAGCCTTAATTTTTAAAGGTAACCAGACTACACATGCCGGTAAGTGAGTCGTATTGCTTACTGTATGAACTACTCTAGAATGCTTGATAAATGCACCTGTTGGCTTTTACTCATGATCAAATTGCATTTACAATTGAATGCCTAATCATCTTAAGGAACTTTGACTTACTTCAGTATAGGTATAACATACCTAAGGCGTGTATGACAACAAGCAAGGGTATCTCCATGTATTGGTTAGAAGCCATTGATATACCAAAAAAAATTGGGCTAACTTCACCTTTTTGGGGTTTATGACTATATCCTTTGAACAAAATATGATTTTTTCGCTGTGTTTTCATCGGTTAATCGATTGACTTGAAAAGAGATATCTCCTTCTTCTTGCAAGGGCATAAAAAGTTAAAATCTACATTATCAAAAGAGTACTTGATAGGCAATGATTTTAAACAAGAGGCCCATGAACCACAACGCTCACCTGAGTAACCTTGACGTTTTTCATACCTTAAACATGTATATTATAAAATTCCCGAGTATGGCCTCACCAAGACCCCGGGGTAAATAATATTATATGAAAAACAAATTTTATCCACCATACTTTAAAATGTTTGCATATTAATTTGATATAGTGTGGCTCCTTGTTAGTCCCCTACCGGTGAAACCGGAGGGGACTATAGGTTTCCTCTGAGTCTGTCCGTCCGTCTGTCTGTCTAGCTGTCTGTCTCACTTGGTTTTCCGCGCTTTTTTGTAACCGCTTGCAGATATTTAGCTGATTTTTGGTATGTGAGTGTATCTTGATGAGTTACAGATAAAGTTTGCATTTCGGTCCGCTTCAATGATTTTTGACGGAATTACGACCTTTTCAATTTTTCAGGGTTTTCCTTAATTTTTTTTCTAAAATCTTGCAGATATTGAGCTGATTTTTGGTATGTGACTCTACCTTGATGTGTTATAGATCAAGTTTGCATTTCATTCCACTTCATTGATTTTTGACGGTATTATTGCATTTTCAATTTTTAAAGGGAACCAGATTACATTTGCCGGTAGGAGACTAGTATTGCTAATGCAATACTCTCAGAATGCTTGTTATACATGTATATACCCGTGTAAAAATTTTGATCTCTTATTGTTGCCACACATACCTCTGGGGGGTGTAACTAGAGAAATATTTTATTTTGCACTAAATGACGATGCTTGCATATAGAAATGATTAACATTGGCCATGCTGTTTTTGAGATAAAGACATAAGATGTTTTGCTATATACATGTATCCTTATTTCTTTATATATATACTTATTTTAGTCGCTTATTGTGGCCTAAACTAAGCCCAGGGCTATGATTTGAACAAATTTATATCTTCACTTCTTAGGATGTTTGCATACAGATAAATATAACTATTTATGATCTTGCGGTTCTTGAGGAAAGATTTTTTTCTACGTGCACCTCATATCATGTAAAACTGATTTCATATTGTTGATCAATCCTACTCCCGAGGAACATGATTTGAATAACTTTAATTTACAGCATGTCGGGAAGCTTTCATTGTCCAGTGATTCTTGAAAAGATTTATGAGATGCAATTTTTCACTTTTCTTAATTACTAGTATCTCCCTTTGGAGGAGGACTTTGCTTAGCACCCTAAGCTCAGATTTTTGTAGCCCGGTGTCATATAATATATTGAACCCCGCGATATTTTGAACCCGGGTTCAAAATATCGCTGCGAAATATTGAACCCCCCTATAAAATATTGATCCCGGGGTTCAAAATATTATGGCCATAATATTTTGAACCCGGGGTTCAATATATTATAGTCTTAGGGCTATAATATTTTGAACCCGGGGTTCAATATATTATAGCCTTAGGGCCATAATATTTTGAACCCCGGGTTCAATATATTATGGCCTTGTGGCCATAATATTTTGAACCCCGGGTTCATTATATTATAGCATTATGGCCATAATATATTGAACCACATTACAGTCATTCTCTGTTTCAAGCATAGGGGTTTCTGAGATTATGGCATTGAAGTGTTGTACCTCCTAATTTTAATTTTTTTTTTTTGGTAGGTTGGGGTGGAGGTTTAAGCTAGGATTTATTGCTGTAAAATGTTGTACCCCTATTAGACATATATGTGTATAGTAGGGTGTGTAAAAATTATTGACCTAAAATAATTTTTGAATGGTAAGAGGGGTCAAGAAATTATGGCAGTGAAATGTTCAATCCACAACATTTTATAAGAGTTGAAAATATTGTGGCTGTGCAGTATTGAACCTCCATTTAAAGACTACTATGGAAAAGGAAGTGAAAGTATTTAACACCCGTCTCCCACACACTTACTTTGATTTATTTGTTAGATCTTAAGGGATGGGTATCTCTATATTAATTTTTTTTTAATAACTGTGCAATACCTAAAGAAGTGAGAGTAAAATAATATAACCAAAACATTGAAGTCTGAAATTGTCACAAGGAAATTAAAAATAATTGTCTTTTACCATCAAACCCCAAATATTCTACATCAAATAACTAAAATAACTTGATATGTCTGATGGAAAAACAATTATGAGATATTTATTTCTTTGTCTTTTATTCCATCCCATAAGGTATTTATTTACTTTCTTTAATTTAATTTTTTTTTGTATAATTTACAATTTGAAAAAAGAAAATTCAAGGAGCCACGTAGTATCTCTCCATTGACGAGGTAACAGGGATATAGCACTTGTGTATTGTGTGTACACAAGGAGGTGTCATTGGAGGTCAACATTACCCACTGTCTATTGTTTCCCCTTGATGATTTCTATATTATTCAATACAGTGTTTAGAGAGTGTACAAATTGAGTAGTCTAGTTTGAGGGGTGTTTAGCTTACATACATCATTCTGATGTTAAAATCGAACTAATCAAAGCAAATGCAATCATTTCCAACGTCGTCTTCAAGAGGAGATGGAGGTCTCAGAGTACCGAGATCTGGTAAATTTCCTGGGAAGTCCACCAGACAGACGAGAATGGCCAGTCAACACAACGGTATGTGTATAGAAATATGAATTCTATAATTCTTCTTTGACAATGTATTGTATGTATGCATTTAGCTACTTTGCACAACATAATATAAATTTTAATTATAAGTACACTGAAATAGTATTAATACATTTCTCATAGATTATTTCCCTTTAGTTTGTATGGGTACAATAATTTTTGTTAATTAATTTTGTTAATTATTAAATTTTAATAATAATATCCATGCTGAGCTTAAAATGCTTTAGAGTTATTTATTCCTGTGAAACTATTTGCACATTGATTAATTGATTGATTAATTTAAAACATTCTTTATATTTAGAAAGTACTTATAATTTAGTTATGTAAAGGTTTAGGTGTAGCTTCATAGTGTTATATATCTATGGAATATGGGTATAAGAATCTAAGATAATTCTTGAGAAAATTTAATACCTCCAAAAGTCATATGTTTTATCAGAATATTTAAGAAATAAACAATAATGTTAAAAAGTTCTATGGGAAATGAACTTGGTTGGTCACGTGATCAAATCCTGTGAAGCCCGAAGGGCTTCTCAGAAGATTTCTCAGAAGATTTGATCATGTACCAACCAAGTTCATTTCCCAGTGAACTTTTTAACATTGTTGTTTATTACTTTTATTTACATTTGAGACGAAAATTCTGAAAAGAACTGCATTTATTACACGAACGGCCCGCCGTATTGCTATGTTGTGACGCGTCGTGAGAGTTGGTTACATACCTCTAATTATTTTTAGAATCGGTAGGGAAGAAAGTAGTGCAGAAAAAATTACAAGTTCCTTAATTTGTAGACCTGAATAAAAAAAAAACTGTGATAATGTATTAAACTGAGCCTCATACTTGTTGATAAGGAGTATGTTCCCTTGCAAAAAAGCTTGGCAGATATAATTTATCAATAAGATCAGCAGAATTATTTTATGTATTATAACACTAGTGAGAAGTCTGGAATTCCCCTACTTTCACTTTCATTTTCAGAGGTTAATGCAGACAGACGCATTTTGCCGGAAAACGAATCTGACATGCCACCTCGAGATTTTAACCAAGGAAAGACAACTTGATGTGCTTTGATTTGAGGGGTCACTCACTGCTGAACGAAAATTAGGGACATTGCTATGTGAAGAAACGTTAACATTGCCGCCTATGGGAAAACAATTAGTGGACTGTACCCAATATGTGGAGCCTATTGGTAAGAGAACATTCTCATAGATCTTTATTTTGTTTTGAACTCGGTGTTTACTATCATTTCCAATTGTTTAGATTTATGAAGGAAGCACATTTTAATTTGTTTATACATATTTTGAAACAAATTGATTTGTTAATAGCCCCCCCCCCCCCCCTTACCCCCTTAGGAACAGACAGCTTATGCTCATATCTTCCATTGTGTACACATGTACATGTAGCATGTAAATTAAATGTATCGATTTTATACAATTTATTAATCCAGAGCCATTAATAGATATTTAGAAAAAAAGAACAGTTATTTTAGAAGTACATCCACCACTATTGTTTATTTTCAATACACAAAAATTCACAAATGAGGTCGGAATCAGTATTCAGTGAAGTTCAAGGTCAAAGTGAAAGTAGAGTGGCAGTAAGTTATCGAAACTGCTTAGTGTTACCTAGTGCAGAGTCTTGCAGTATGTAGGTGAAATGCACTTGTCATTTTATGAAAGAGGTAAAGAAAAAAAAGGTTTCCATGCCTTATTACAATATTTGTAAATGAAAACTTTTATTTGCATGGAATAGAAATACATGAATGAGGACATAGTATACATGTGCATTCTTTCAAAGAAGTTGGTCAGGCTACAGTTCTGTGGAAGTTAAGCAGTGTGTGCGTGAACATGCACACTAACATTTTTTATATTTTACATGTATTAACTGCATTACGTGTATTTGTCTAATGTATAATTATTGTCAGTAAACATGCTTTTTACCTGTATTATTAATTTACATGTAATTTAACAATGTTGAGACTAATCAGTGCAAATTCATAATTTTCAACTGATATTAGATTATGGGCATAAAAGGAATGTGGTAGGATTGTGTGTGTTTGGTGTCTGTCTGTGAATGTTTTAGGTGCTATTGAAGCTGATAAATTATTGCACCATTTTTTAAATTGATTTTTTTTTTTAGGTTCATGGTGATACAGGACAACTTCGAGGTTCATGCAGATGGTGTTTATTAAAGCTATCAGTCAGTAAAAACAAACTCATTTGAACACATCT